GCCACCCTAAAAAACAGCATAAGCAACCAACAGAAACAAGAAAATTCCCCTATCAGAATCACCCTACCATTCCATGGAAATCTCACTTACCAGATCAGCCGATTACTAAAGAAATCCAACATTGACACGTCCTTCTCGATCCCCACATCCCTCAAACAGATCTTAAACGCCAGTGGAAAACTGCAACCTACCACTCCTGTGCAACCAAAAGGGGCCATCTACAAAATTAGCTGCTCATGTGATAAGACCTATATCGGGGAAACCAAAAGACCAGTGGATAAAAGAATTTCAGAACACAAGTCCAAAGCCCCAACCAACATATCAGCCATAGCCGAACACTTGAAAGACCATCCAAGACACAAAATAGACTGGGATAAGGTAAAAATTCTGGCTGCTAACCAAAACAATAAGAAAATTAGGAAGTTAAAAGAAGCCATTAACATCAAAAGATTTTCTCCTGAATTAAACAAAGATTTGGGACTATTTATTCCGAGGGCATATGATGAAGTTATCAAATCAGTCAATTACCCTACAATGGGTAACCATTAACTCTCAATAATTATTTTTGAACTTACAACACGTTAATCGCACATCACTATGTTAACCTAGTCCAATCAGTTTTAGCCCAATATCAACCTACAACGCCTTAGCTCGCGATTTCTGTGTTATCCTAGTGCTATTATGCTGTGTTTTAATAACCTTTTAAGTTATTGTGATATTATGCTGAATTACTTTTCAGTCAAGATCCGGTGTTATAAGCCCTTATCAGTTACATACAAGTGGTCTAATGGATTTTTCTCCCCCCCCCCCCAGTTATCACTTTTAATTATGTATATTTTTGATTCCCCCCCCCCCCCAGTTATTAAATTTTAATAACATATATTCTCTGAACTTTAACACCTTGAATTGTGATTACTATGTTTACTTAGTATATTATAATAAGCCTATATTAGATCCTTCAAACCCTTGGATCAGTTTATTGTGTTATCTTAGTGCTATTATGCTTTGTTTTCATAACATTTTGTGAATGTGGTTTTATTTACAAGACCGTGTGTTTATAAGCTCTATCTGTTATATACTGTTTGTTTAATGTATGGTTTCCCCCTAATCATTTTTCTTTTTCAATATCAGGGTGGTTTTAAGGTTCATGTACAACTATATCCTTGTCATCACACGGTGCTTTTCAGGTCTTTGATGTTAAATATGTCTGTTAATTGGTTGAACTCTTCTAATGATTAGTAATAAGAATGGTTTCGCATTGTACATATATATAGACCCTCGAGTTTACTAAATGTCATTGTGCTTGATAACGATAAGAGAATACTTATCGAAACGTCGTGCTTGTGTATAATAAACCAGTGATTGTTGTCCCATATAACTGTATAGTTTTGTTATGTTTCCAATTGCTAAATGCCACTAAAGGATTATATAAGTTAATCTATTACTTTTTCTTCCGTGTTACATGTATCTAGTAACTGAACTTATGGGTAGTTTTTAAAATGGCATTTTTCAACTCACATGGTGGATCCTGTTACCAGCCTACATTAAGTCATTAGAGAAAATTAAAACACAATTAAATAATTTAACAATTATGATAATGGGAGGATAAATTATCTAATACTAGAAGAATGCCCGGCTTCGCTCGGGGGTCATAACCCCGAAACCGGAAGTGGTAGACTAACACCACCTGGCCTATGTTACTCCCCGGTCCGAGCTACCCCTATACCCCAAATTTCAGACTCGGGGCAGACCTAGTGTAGCCGCCAACCCCGAACAGACAGACAAACAGACAGACAGACAAACGACAGTCACAAATATTAGTATAGATTAATAAGTACTTAACTATGGCTGTTAGAGCCAGTGGCGGCGCCAGCCGTCGGTGATTGGAGGGGCAAAGCTGGGGCAAAGTTCAAGGTTAAGGGGGAAAAGGCACGAGATTCAACTAGGGGTAGGGGGCCTCCCCCAAAAATTTTTGAAAAACAAGTTGCCGGAAATGCAGCCTGGCAGTATTTCAGGCACTGATCGATGAGGTAAAGTGTCAAACGAACGGACTTGCGAATCACGACGAAGCCAACTCACGAGCGCCAAAGTAGGGAGTCCTCCCCCCAAAAATTTTGAAAAATAGACTGCCGGAAATGCTGTCTTACAGTATTCTGTCAGGCACCGATCGTCGAGATAAATAGATCTGCCCAGATACCGTTCGTCGCCTGATCACTAGTTTATCCGACTAGAGAACAAAATGTTAAACGAACGGATTTGCGAACCTCAACGAATTCCCCTTGTGAGCGCCAAAGTAGCGAGTCCATTGGGGACCTCGCCAAGAAAATTAAAAAAAATAGACTGTCGGAAATGCTCTACAACATGCAAGTTTATGACTAAGTGGGGATGTGGGATTTATTCACCGTAGAAGGTATTGATTACCGAAACGTATCACAAATACTTTTTTTTATTTTCTAAAATTATTGGGGGGGGGGGGCAAACAGACCAGATTAGTGGAATGCCCCCCCCCCCCCCCCGGCGCCGCCACTGGTTAGAGCATTTTAGGGCACTCTAACAAGCTTGTGTTTGGAGGCGCAGAACAAAACCAGATATCAATTGGGTCATCATAACGCACCTAGGAATATTTTATGTAATGTCGTAAATACGTCACCTGCCGTTAAACATGCTGATATAATAATTTGCTAGTTAGACCGTATGAAGTAAACAATATTTTTTCACGAAACGAAATGTGACTTTATTTTTCCTGAACCGCTTGATGGATTTCAACAAAATTTGGTAGATATATTCCCCGGACATGTCCAGGCGCAGGTTTGCACATGGTTTCAGAATAATAATTCTCAAGCGCATATAGCGCGTCTAGGCATCGTCTTCTTATGCCAATGTGTCGGTGTTCAAATAGCCAGACGTCTCTCTCACAAATCGAACACCTGCGAGGCAATATTGGACGTCGCCTTTTCCTGATGCCCCAAATGCAAATTCTCCTTCAAATGGAACTCGCATTTTAAGGAAAGAGGAGATGGATCCCACAAACAGCCATTCAATGGCATATCTCCTTCATGCAGCGATATTGCATGTCTCGTGTTGCTGCTAGAAGTGCAAACCGACGTTTCATTCTGCGCTTCCAATAATTTTGTCTTTAAAGTAGGCTATATATTTAACCCAGAACTCAGTAAGATATTACCTGTACTTAAAACGTGCAAGCGAAATAGCTGGCGTGTAGATTTATTATATTTAAAGTGTAGTCAAGGGTTAATACTTAAATTATAATGTATATGTTGTAAATTAGACACTTGTTATATAAACTAAGTTTATAAACATATTTATTTATTTACAACATTGCAACATTTGCCTTTTATTTACACAACCTAAAGTTGAAAACGACCAACGGTAAGCATAATCACGGTAAGTATTGTCACATCGTTTATTGATTCTGGCTGTGGAGGATCCCCGAGCTAGTTGCATAATAGATGTTGTGCCAAATAAGACAGCTGTGATGCTATAGACATTTTTTCTTTCCAGGTTAACGTTGATGTCTATAAGGAAAAATTTAACGGCAGCTATCATGAGAGCTATTAGAGTTACTTCATTTGGTGGACCTGAAGTGTTGAAACTAGATACAGGAACACCTATACCTACCCATGGTGATAATGAGGTAAACTATAACAAAAGAGGACTTGTTTGGGACCATAATTATCGATGATCCCATTTCAGTATGTGAGTTTAGTAACTGGTCCATTGGAAAATCACCACCCGCTCATTCATTCATTAATTATTAGATAATTAAAATAACTGGAGCCGAGGTGGCTCAGCAATTAGGCGCTTGCTCACTTATCCCGGGGTCTCGATTCGCCCCCGTTGTTGGTAGAGTCATGTCTTTGCCGGTGGTGCAGGGTGTGGGGATGGGGGGGGGGAATTTGCAAGGAGCATCGTCTAGTCGCATTTATGGGATGAAAAACCGAGGTCCCGTGTTCACGTTGGCTTGCAGGTAACATAACTCGAAATAAGTGAAGCGGCACTTATCGGACAAATATTTGCTCATAGTATACTGCATCACATAATCCCATCTTCATTGGGGGTTGGATGGTCGAATAGTTAGCGCGTGCGCGTTGTATCATAAGGTCTGTCATTCCTGTCATGTGGGACGTTGACCCCCCTCTCTCTCTCTCTCTCTCTCTCTCTCTCACTATTTTACGAAGTGACGCTTTGTGTGGGCGTTTAAACTATGTATATATATTTAGGTTTTGATCAGGGTATGGGCTGCGGGTGTAAATCCTGTCGATGCCTATATCAGGGCAGGTAACTATGGCGCCCTACCAGCATTACCTTATACACCGGGTATGGATACTGCTGGCATCATTGAACAAGTCGGACAGAATGTAGAAAATTTCAAGGTAAGGTTGAATTTGTGCATTTACGTTTTTGAAGGTTTAGAACTCAACGGAATAATTTTACACTACCCACAAGCTACGTACATTAATGTTCAAATTGAGTTGTTTGCCAGTCTGATTATTTAATAAATATTTTGAATTGTTAAATAGATAAGGATATCGAATATCAAAGAATACAGTCCATTAAGCATCGCATAGCTTTTTATTTAATTAAATCTGCATTTTACTCTAAAAGCATTATGACCCAATCGCTGTACGTTTAGTCCCACAATGTCAATAAATCATCCGAGTACAAAGGAACATGCATAACCAATATATACTCACGATAATCATTATTTTTTATACGCCCACAAACAATACGGACTTCCGGACGGACGGGGATGGCGGCAATATTACGTTTTATGTGGACGTATATTGCCGCCATCCCTGTCCGTCCGGACGTCCGTTTTGTTTGTGAACACTCTACATGTCAATTTTTTATCTGATTTTCTCGAAACAGACCTCGGGTCCTTTCGATATGGGCATATGCGGGGCTGTAACTTTATGGTTTATGGACCCTGATTGTGCGAAAAATCACGTATTTAGCTTGTGGACACTTTAGAGGTCACAATTTTATCCGATTTTGATGAAACTTGAAGGGTATGTTGTAGCACCATGGGTCTTCTCTCAGACGTGGAGAGCGGGTGACCCTTACCGGTCCGAACATCCTACGTACGACACATGCATCTTTTCTTACTACATATCTTAGTAGCCTTGTGATCGTTTAGAATTTGTCTCTAGCTGTCTTTGCTTCCCCTTCACGTTGTGTATTTACTTCTTACTGTTTTCTTAAGACGTTTGTCTTTCAAGGAATAACAATGTAACAGTTCGTTTTTACATTTTATATATCATAGCTGCATACATATGGTACAATGCATAATAGAATAAAGTCATTCTCTCAAACCTCATCCAGTGGTTCTGCTGATAGAAATTGCACTCAGATGGTAATCTCTCCGGAATCTAATGAAAATCCGCCTTAAAAGTTTGCCATGATTTCTTTTGTAGGACATATGGACATCACGCACAGAGTAAGCTACTCATGACCCTGAACCTGTGCAATTACTGATTATGATTGGTTACTTTAGACAAATGATGTAATTAGTAAATTTCCAAGCACTGTAATCTCGTGGTATTTTATCGACACATACAACCAGCTATGTTTTGGCTCTATAACTCTTTTATGTGTCCATCTGTCACTCACTCGCTAACCTAATTTAAGTACAAATATGTGAATCTGCTAACTTGCCAGAGATATTAATTAATACAATATAATGCTATCATTAATTATAAGAGCAAAAATTCTAGCAATATTAATACAATGTTTATACCCAAAGATCTAGGTTTCTTTCGATATTCGCTCATATCAGACCGTAACTTCCTGGATTATTGCCCCTGGTTTTACTTTTTTTAGTTTGTGTTCCCTCTAGACAATTTTTATCCGATTTAAACAAAACATTTGAATATATCACCTTTACGTTTAAATTTCGTTCAAATCGGACCGAAACTGCTCGACAAAATGGCCACTCCCTCTACGCAAATAGTGTTTAAGTGAAACCTCTAGAGGTCACAATTTTGGCACGATTTTGATGAATGATGAAACTTCTTTATATCCTAAAGATTTCAGTCCCGTTCTAGATATTTGCGCATATCGGACTGTAACTTCCTGGATTATGGTCCCTGATTGTACGAAAAAATCGCAATTTTACCTTGTGGACCCTCTAGCGGTCATAATTTTGATCTGATTTTCAAAAGTCGTTTAAATATATCACTGTTCACACTAGTGGTGGTTGGGTTTGAATTTCGTGAAAATCGGACCGTATACAAATAGTGTAAAAGTATATAATACCAAGGTTGTGGACCCTCTAGACGTCACAATTTTTGTCCGATTTTGACAAAACTTAAAATATATTTTTATATCGCACAAGATCTCGATCCCTTTCGATATTCACGCATATCGAACCGTAGCTTCCTGGATTAAGGGCCCTGATTGCACGAAAAAGAGCGTTTTTAGCTTGTGGACGCTCTAGAAGATACAATTTTTATCCGATTTTAAAAGCCGTTTAAATATTGTCAAAATATGTAATACCAAGGTTGTGGACACTCTAGAGGTCACAATTTGTATCCTATTTTGTTGAAATTTAAAATATGTGTTTATATCTCAAGGATCTCAGTTCATTTCGACATTCGCGCGTATTGGACCGTCACTTCCTGGATTATGGCCACTGATTGTACGGAAAATCGCCTTTTTTGGCTTGTTTTCTGCAATCTCTTTCAAAATGTGGGCGTATCTTGCATGACAACCATTTGTTTTAAATTACACATCTTATTTTATATTTACACAAGATAGGGGATCGTGTTTTTACTGTAAGAACTATATCTGGGGCTTATGCTGAATACACGGTAGCCAATTCATTATATGTCGGACATCTGGGAGATAACCTAAGTTTTGATGAAGGAGCAGGAATAGGGGTGCCTTATTTTACAGCTTACAGAGCCCTTGTTATAAGGTAGATTGTTAAATTCCCCTTTTAGCTCATTTATGTCTGCCTTCCGTTCGAGTTTATTCTCCTTAATGTTGATGGATTTCAACCACACGTATTTTTGCCTGGGAGGTATTTATTGAGACTTGTTCAGATGAAGTTGCTTGCCCCTATAGGTGACTAATTTAAGTAATCTTAAAAATTATTTGAGAATTGGCATGAACCATCCGTCGATGATCATAATAACAATTTGTTAGAATGATTGAAAGATTTTTGGTGAACGGGAGCAGGACAGGGCATGGCAAATTATGTTTTTTTTTTCTTCAAACCGTTTGGTGGATTCAACAAAATTTGGTAGGTGTGATGACTTGCTGACGCTTTTCTATATAGTTTTTGGACTTGACGTGGTATTCAGATTTGTTCAAAGATTCTTGACCTGATAGTATGGGCCGGGGGAATCTTGATTGGATAGATTTATGTATTTTCGACAAAATCTCATAAGACTACTTAATAAATTTAAACCAACTTTGGCAGGCATGCTGCTGTGTGTCTAGCAAGATACAATTACATGGCACAAAAGAGGTAATCCAGAGGCATCGTAGTTGGTAAATTGACGTACTGTTGCCTTATTCCTCTAAAAATCGTGATGATTGCAGCTAAATTTTGAACTTATACCAAAACCTCATTTAAATCGGGGAAACCAGGTAGTCCGTGTTTACAAAAACAATGACGTAGTACGGCAGTGTATGGTTGGGTCAATCAAACGAATGGAGAATCGACGATTAGTAGCATTATTTAAATGAAATGAATTGAAAAAGGATTTAACGGCTCACTGTTCTGCTCCGATGGGGCTCATGAAGACAGGCATAGGCCATACATTGTGCTGTGAAGAAAATTTTGCCCGGACAGCTGTACTACGGTCTACTCTTATATTGAATTCCAACTGTCAAGGGATCTTTAACGTGCACTCCAATGTGTACGCGGGACCTTGAAAAAGAAGGAACTGCGCTGGAAAATCCCATTATTTAAGAAACATGTTTTGTATTTTAGAATAAATTGAGCTCCGTTGATAGTTTATTTTATATATTCTCTAGGGCTAAAGCTAAAGCAAGTGAAACGGTGTTGGTACATGGAGCCAGTGGGGCTGTAAGTTATTGTTCTCTCATCTGAAATATTTACCCTGATCAATTGTTCAAACTAATAATTAAAAATATATTCCCTCAATTAGCTTATATATGCCAAACTCTAACTTTGTTGTTTTATCTAAAAGTGTGATATTTGTAATGACCACGATAATAAGAACATAAACTTAATTACCAATGCGCACACGACATATTAGATATGTTAATTAGTAAAGAACGTCAACCATTGAACCTGTCTTTGATACCCTATGTTTAAAATTGGTAGCTTGTCAAAACGGTCCCTTTTAGATATCTGGAAAGGCGTAATGTCTTTGGTAGTAAATATACTTCCAGCATTATTTTGATATGTAACCAAATGGATAGTTATGTATTGAAACCTTAACTATCTGAAGTTCAAGATTAGCTGGGGTTTAATTTTAGGGATAAAATCTATTATTAGTTTAATATGTGGCGTTAAAGTTTTTATGTATTATGGTAAATTATGGATCTTTTATTATTATAGGTTGGATTAGCCAGCGTGCAACTGGCTAAATCTATAGGGTTAAAGGTCATTGGAACAGCTGGTACACCGGAAGGAATGAAATTAATCCAAGACAATGGGGCTGATTTTGTATTCAATCACAGGGAAGAAGGGTACATGAATAAAATAACTGTAAGTTGATTTAATTTTTAAACAGTAAGGAACAAAATAAGAGTGGGTTGAATTATTGATTCTTTTATAGAAAAATTGATTGCATGGACAATACAGGTCAATTTGGTGTTTTATTTAAATATATGTGTAGAAATGACAAGGAGTAAACTGCATAAACAAAATGACAGTAAATTATGTGTTACAGTCTACTCCTAAACGGGGTTAAACGCGTAGGATGGGTGTTGAAGTTTAAGAATTCAATATTGAATTGTAGTATATTCTCTGGCAACATGTGTCTATATATAACTGTACCATGCCATTATATCATTTGCGTGTACCATTACAGGAAGTTATACCAGGTGGAGTAGACGTCATACTAGAGATGTTATCCAATGTTAATTTAGGAAAAGATTTGGAGATAATTAAATATCAAGGCAGAATAATAGTAATGTATCCCATATTTTTTCATTATTTGTATGGTATATTAATGAAATGTTTTGTTTATTTGATAGTCGAATCATTATTTTGTAAGAAGCAATTGTGAATATGAGATATCCAAACGAAAGGGATACCAACAATCTGTCCTTGCTTGTAAGTAATGTGGTCTGCTGTGGAATATCTGTTCATTGACAAATTCCGAAACGGTTTTGTTTTTGGTCTTTAGAATTAACCCGACAGATTAAGTTGCAATGACAAAATGCCTACAGATAGTCTGGCAGAACTATGGCTGAACCTGGAAATTGTATACAAATTTTTTTTATGATTGATTTTAGTAGCCTAGGTTGTCCTCTTTCAGAATCTGTCGGGTGAACCTAGGTCACCCTTGAGCGTTTTGAGAAATTCAAGATGGCGTCTAAGACGGCTGCCATTTCAAATTATCCCCTATAACTCCTATAGTATTTAGTCTAGAATGATAATGTTGGCGTCTAACCGTATGTTTTGGTGGTTAAGGAATACACTGAAATCGTTCATTATGTTGTGGGGTGATTAGATGATAGTAAAATCAAACATGCCAGACAATATGACCCTTTAACTCGTTAGCGGCGTTTTGGGGTCATTATTTTACCGAACCAAACTATATCTAAAACAAACTATATATTTCTGGACAAAACTATGTAATATAGAATTTAATCCTTTAGTCGTGATTTTGGTTGTAACCTGTGAAAGCACAAGCGCATAAAACTGTATATTCTAAGCAATTCCTAGTGCAGTTACAAGCACACGTACTACATGAGCTGTCACTCTTGCATCCACATCTGATGAGCCACATGACAGACTCCGGGGCAAGTTGACCGGTTGTAATGTTTTCAATTTAGTGTCCTCCAAGCAATACAGTTCCGGGTCAAGTTCTGGCGCTTTCCGATCTTCCAGTGAACGCCACACACAATAACTTTGCGATGACATATTTTTACGTTCGCTACAAATGCATCATTGGTTGGAGCTAGACTACACGGTTTAGGTGGGGATGATGACGATACATTTCCAGTTTTGGATGCCTATACCCCTCAGTGTGTTACAGTCATCGATTTGCAAGAGCTCTGTCCATAACAAGCTTATGTGGAATCACCAATCTAGGAAAGAACAACCGTTGACACTGGTTAAACTAAGGAGAAACACATGTCAATTATCATTGAAATCCTGCCAGCGCATGCTCTTACTGGATGTGACACGGTTACAAGCGTCTAGGTCGTGGGAAAAGTCACAGCTTTGAAAGTTTGGAAGTGTATTTATGTAAGCTTGTTATGGACAGAGTTCTAGAAATCTATGTCTGAAACACGCTGGAGGGTTTAGAAATCTAAAACCTGGAAATGTATCGTTATTATTCCCATCCAAACCATGTAGTCTAGTTCAAACAATGATACATTTGCAGAGAACGTAACACGAGCTCATCACCAAGCTATTGTGTGGAGTTCACTGGAAGATTGTAATCCATCGGAACTTGATCTGGAACTGTATTGCTTGGAAAAGGATACTAAATCGAGAACACTACAACAGGCCAATGTGCTCCAGAGTCTGTCATATGGCTCATCCGATGTGGATGCATGAGTGACAGCTCATGTAATACGTGTGCTTGTAGCTGCACTAGGGATGGCTTAGAATATACAATATTTTGCGCTTGTGCTGTCACAGGTTGCAGCCAGAAACACGACTAAAGGATTAAACTGGATATTACCTAGTTTTGTGGAGGTTATGTTCCTGTTTTGCGGGTAGAATTTGTTTTTTTTAAATGTTCAACAAACATCTTGATGTGGCGGCCGTCTTGGACGCCATCTTGAATTTCTCAAAACGCTGAAGGGTGACCGAGGTTCACCCGACAGATTCCGAAAGAGTACACCCCGGGCTACTAAAATCAATCATTAAAAAACTTTGTATACAATTTCCAGGTTCACTTGAAGTGGGTTTGGCAACCAGGCTAAGACGTTTTATTTGGATTTTTTTTATCTTAGGTGATTGGCTGCCGAGGGACTGTAGAAATTAACCCACGATTAACCATGAAAAGTGAATGTACTATAACTGGTATGGTTCTAATGAATGCTCCAGAGGTAGGAACATCATTATTTTAAATCTTTGTGGATGTCCCCAATTATGTATTACTATTAAAAACTTAACAGCATCAATGAACGTAACTTTTCTTTTATATTGAGGATTTATATTTTCTAGGAGCTGTGCTCAGTGTTTCTCCTTCTTTGGGCCTGAAATGTTATATAAACTATAAATTAGACATTTATTAACATGAAAAGACCTTAATCATCTCTCGATGCCATCTTATATGTCGGATTTTCACTGGATTTGAATCTGATTTGCTGCTCAGCGATGATTTAATCCAAAAGTGTATAGTCTAGACTATGTTTTTTATCGTACCGACTTTAGTAATGAATGGAGCAATTTGACTTAAATTTTCAGCATATTCCCTTTACGTTATCTAGTTATTAACTATTAACTATTATCTAATACTCTTTATCTAATCTTCCATAATGCCCTTTTAAGACTTAACATACGAGTTAAACACTCTGGATTTGGATTAACTCAAAAAATGGCTTAAAATGCTAGTTAAACACAAATTTAACCCTGGTCTTAAGACTTAAAATACTAGTTAAACACACCTCTAACCCTGGACTTGAATTAACTCATGTGTCTTCTTTCTGAATTTCAGGCAGAATGGAGAGAAATTAATAGTGCAGTGGAAGCGGGGATAACTCACGGTTGGTTAAAGCCTCATATTGGCTTAAAATATCCTATAGAAGAAGCTGCGAAAGCCCACGATACTGTCATTAATAATTCTGGAGCTATGGGGAAAATAATTCTTACTTTGTAGAATTCAAACTTTGATATACTAAGTCACAGTCACTCACAGCTTTTGACCAAAATTCATGATCTCCGGCTTTGTTTTGTTGTTGTTTATTTTGTTGTTAAATTTATAAAGATTCAATTAAAACTCTCTTGTCACTAGGTATTTGCATAAGTGAAATCGAAATTACCTCACCTTTTCTCTTGCCAATTTAATCAGGTGAAGGTTCGGTCTGCGAAAATAATTCACGGTATACATGTATATAAACAGGGTTTTATTAAACCGATAATTGTTATTACTTTTAACACAGTTTTCATTGACCCTTAATTATGATGCACATTATATTCGGTATATTACGCCATCGTCATTTAAGCTATTATTTATTTTTGTTTATGCCAATTCTTAATGGTGCATTATTAAAGAATAAGATAAAGAGCTGGCCGCTCGTGCTGTAAGAGTTCGAAAATAGATAATTAAAAATGAATACATTGAAGTTATCAGTTTTTGGTTGCTTAATATCGTACAAACGGTAGTGTTACTTGACAACCGAAACTAAGTCTCGAGTATCCATTTTATTGTTAAATTTTAAATCTCGCGGATATCAAATCCTTTTAAATCTCTACCATCCATAGCCTAGAGAGTTGATTATAGGCTTTCCGTGGGACTAAAATGTCTAAATAATAGTTTATATAACATTTGAAGCCTAAATATAGACCTGCAGAAGTGTAGATTTAACATTTACAAAGATGATGGTTCAGATTATTACGTTTATTATTGAGTTGATGGACACATAAAAAAAAAATTAATACCAAGATATGTTAGAGGAATACTGTCCCATGGAGCAAGATTATTAAAACTATTAAAATGTTTACATGTTGGTGATTTTTTTTATATTGTTTTCGAAGTGTGTAACTCTAATTATTTTGAGTCCAAATTATGTCTATTGCGTTTTGGTAGTTCCTGTAGAATTTTATATCCTGTTGATAGTGTGTAACTAGCGATTTTGTGTGAAAATTATGTGCATCCTTTTTTGGTGGTTACTTTAGAAAAGTTTGTCCGTGGTTATTTCAAACAAAATAGAAAGTAAAGTATAAAACCAAATTGGATGGATAAAGATCGCCAGATATATGTTTAAAAGCTCGGGGGGAAACAATTGTGATATGTAACCCAAATACTGTATAAATGCTACCCTCCACACCCTACATATCGTTGGTACCATATCCGCCCTTACACGCACTGTTATTGTAAAACAGAAAAATTCCGGTATAAATTTTGTATTTACCAATTTTACGCTCATGATTAAGTGTCGAAGAAACGTTTTGAAATCTTTTCCTGTATGTATGTTAGCACTATCATCATCAAAAGGGATGTTTTAAGCCCAAAGTGAAAGATTTATCCGTAATAATATTGTGTGTGTGAGAGAGAGAGAGAGAGAGAGAGAGAGAGAGAGAGAGAGTTTAACAACCACTCCCCACAAATATGTCATTTCAGGACTAGCGGGCAGCTTATAATAATGTCCAGAAACTTAAATTTTCGGAATGAAAAAGTGTGCCACAGAATTTCGCACATCTTAAGATCAGCTGTCAGTTACTTTATGGTGTACTATTACATTAGCGTCTAACCCATTATTGTTCCCAAATTAATTTATTCTGAATGTTACTAAATTGGAAAGTCAATTTTGTGCAAATCTGTCGATCGTATGTGCTTCCATAATATTAACGAAAAATAAAACCTTGTCAAAAGTAAATATTGATATCATGTAATTGTAAATTAGCATATATTCCGTATTAAACGATTTCATTTGGTTATATAGTTGGTCATAAAATCACCCCCGATACCTAGGAACTAATGGCCATTTGGGGGTAATTTGACTCCATAAAAATCAATTATTTGATAGCAGGGCCCACGCTCTTTGGTCGCCAAATTATTTTTTTTTAATCAGATGCACCACAGAACTATTGGCCGCTTTTTTTGTGATCTATTTAACTCCAAATAAGCAAGTATTTGAAGACAGTCCCCTCCCTTTTTAAAAAAGTGTGTCACGTCAAGAAAGCGTTTAGTTCCGCATGTATGGTAGTGGTACTGGTATTTTTGGAGTTACAGTTCGTGGGGAGACTTCGTTGTAAACGTTCTACCTCACCACCTGGGGCAGCCATTCCGATGGAACCAAACTATGTTTATTATGTGGAAATCATTTCATTTAATTTGCCCACTTAAGCATTCTTCGTAGGAACATGTTTTTATACGCCCACATTTTCATGTGGAAGTATATTGTCGTCGCCCCATCATGTTTGATATAAACGACTCGCTCTACGTCTGGTTGATGGTTGGAGATGGGGTTGTCACGTACAACCGGGGAATCGATGTTGAGACTGTAAACAACATCGAATGTGATATGGTTGGCAAATACTATTTCAAATATAAGCTAAACAACATTTTTTCATTTATTTTTTTTAAGACAAGTGAAGGATTTGGAGAATTTTATATGATTTTTGTTTTCACAGTTAAGCCAATATTGTTAATATACTGCTGATCTGTATTCTATTACTGCTCTAACAAAAATGTCACTTTATAATGATAAACTTGTTCTTGAAATGGTTCAAAGATATAAATTTAGAAATCCCATATTGTGGGATGAAACGGCTGTTCATGTGGATAACGATAAAGTTGTTTCTTCATTATACCGACCTGACTGACTTTATGATTATTTTTTTTTCCAACAATATATTATTCAAGTTGCATAAAGCGATACGGAATTTCATAGTTAGCGGTGTCCTTGACGAAATTAAACAAAAATGAAATGGGGTTTATCGTCCTACTTTTCTACACCAACTGGGCTAATGAAGACGGATTTACGCCATACAGTGTGGCATGGGGGAAATTTAGCCCGAACGACTAGACACTGTCCCGGCCTACAATAACGGCAGCCTTCACAAATCACAGGCACGGAACTAATAATTGCCAGAAATATTATAAAGCCTAGTTTGGCCGTGTGTATACTAGCTGACGATATTATATATATTACCCATAGATATATATTTCTATGATATAACCGATATCTTCCGGCGTGGTTCTCTCTCCCTTGTTATTGATACAGGAAGGGGGTCTGGCACGGACAGTGGCTGGTCGTTCGGATGATGGTATAAAAAAAAATATTTTTTAGAGAAGTAAAAGAATAAAGACCAACAGCATATAGATATTAATTGGCTCAACTGTGAAAAAAAATCAAATAAAATTCTCGAAATCCTGCACTTGTCTTCAAAGAAATGAACAAATGTTGTTTAAATGGTGGCTGGTTGGTATCATGTCGTGATGTCGTGGTGTCGCCCTTCATAAGGCGACAAACCAACATCACGACATTTTAACCCGACACCACGACAACCGACAACCCAACAACCCGACGTCACGACATTTTTAACCCGACAATACGACATTTTCACCCGACATCACGACATCAAAAATGTCGTAATGTCGCGTACAAATGTCGTATTGTCGGGTTAAAATGTCGGGTTGTCGTGGTGTCGAGGTTTTCGAGTTGTCGTGATGTCATGGTGTCGGGTTATCGGCCACATTCTTCTCAGTACTATGATTATAATACACTGATCCAGGTGTTGGTCAAGAAAGTTCCCCGGGATTTTGCAGCGTAGTTTCTCCATGTCGGTAGTGCAGGACAAAGGGTCTGGCAAAGTACTGTGTCTAGTTGTGTAGATGGGACAAAAAAAAAACAAGCTCTCGTTTACACATTGGCGTGCACATAAAAGGATCCTTCACAGTTGAATTTCGATGAAGAAATGCCACGGTTCATTGATAATTTCCGTCATAGCACGCTGCATAGCGTATGCCTATCTTCAATAGCCCGATTGGTGCAGAAAAGTAGGAAAATTGAATGAAATGAAATTGTGTTTACCGTCCTACTGTTTCTGCTCTGACTGTGCTAATGAAGACGGGCATACAGTGTACTGTGAGGGAAACTTTGCTCGGATAGCGGCGCTACGGCCCACTCTTAATTCCGGAACCTCGATTTTTCGTCCCATCAAAAAGACGAAACGTTATCTCTAGACTGGACAACCTGCTCTAAATGACCCCAGACTTGTTCCTACGTCACTGCGCTTTTCTGACTTCAATATGCAAGTCAGAAAAGGAGTGACGTAGGAGCGAGTCTGACGTATTAGAGCAGGTTATCCTGATGTCGGGTTGTCGCCTTATTCAATCTGACGAAGAGCGAGTCATTTGTATCAACATAATGGTCCGGGTATATCAGGTGCCAAATCGCCAAATTGAGCACACGGTGGCGACACCAAACGACGTCATAATCATGATTTTAATCATGAACATTGAACAAATTTAGAATTTTGAAACATGTAAAGCGACAATGGAGTAGACATTTTTCGTCATACTAATAGAACTAAGTTGAAACAGAATTAAAATTTACACTGAACAAATAAAGATGTCTTAATTTAGAAATTACATGAATAGAAGAGTAATTACATGAATAGGAGTTAGAAATTAGACGATAGCATGTTAGAATTTTGAATCTAATATACCGGCATACCTTAAGAGGTACCTTTGGCTCTTGCCAGTCTGTACAAGTGCCGGAACAGACACTCTGTAGGTCTGAGTTCTAGGCTCGTGGTTGTCGTTACTATTTTTTTTATTAACAACACGTATTCATATAGAACAATACGGTTTCTCGAGTTCAAGGCGTGTTTTCTAGTGGTTTCTCCTTTCTTTAACTTCAATATGGACTTCAATACTTTTAGTTCAAGAAAGAAGAAACCGGAGAGTATCAGATCCGTTATTTGGAAGCCCGTAACCAGGATAGTCCTTTTGGTTCTTGTGACCAGAATAGTGCCCCAATGTAATGTTATAATATCAAAACAAAGATTCCATTCTATTCATTCTTTTTTAATAAACGTTAAACAAAACATGTATGAAAGAATGTTAATTTGTATAAGCTCAGTTCAATGTAGGCATAAACTCATTCTTTATACTTAATTTTATTTTAAGCACAGAGCTTGTGATTTGTCCAAGTAAATAAGAATGGTTCTTCTGACTACATACTAGTAAGCGCGATTAACGGATTTAGATCATAAGGTCTGTCATAGAGTCACTGGCGGAATTTTGATTTCCAGTGTGTACGTAACAAGGAGTAGGGCTGCCTGTTTTCCCCGGGTCCGAGGTGGCTTAGTGCGTAAGACATTGGCTCGCTGTCCTGGAGATCCCGTTTTCGATACCGGTGTTGGCCGATAAAGTTCATTGCGACTTTCCGGCGTGGTTCCCCCTTGTCAGTGGTGCAGAACAACGTAAAGTTTTTCGGGTGTGAACGTAAAAAGAACCCCTGAATAAGTAGGCCGTAGTGTCGCTTTCCATGAAAAATGGTCTTTAGGGTAGAAAACCTGATACCAATTGGACACAGCTGACCAAATATTCCTACGCCTATGAATGTAGGGGGAGAGTTATTTTTAATCCTGCTCTCACTTTCCTTTTTCCCACTTTTGCACAGCGATTACTGTTGACTTTTTAGTGTAGAAACGACGAAAAGGGTTTGAAAATGCATTTTCTGCCAGGTTTTGGTGAATATTCATGATTTTAAGGAAGAAGGATATGAGAGTTGAGAGGTTGGTTAGGTTGAAATATAGGGCGGAAAATTGCATTCTGAACGCAAGAAATACCAAATGTATCCTTTACTAACAATTTATTACATTATTGGTATTATCTTGATTGGTAGGTCTATGTACGTAACATTGTCATTTTATTTCTAACTGTAATTAAGATACCGCATGTATCTCTTACTGACATTTTTTTTTTTTTTTTTTTTTTACTTACTTTAAGATACCGCATGTATCTTTTACTGACACGGAGGTTTGGATGGCCGAATTTGTAGCGCGTGCGCGTTTTATCATAAGGTCTGTCATTGAGTCAACTGGCGTGGTTTCGATTCCCCGGTCCAACCTCGTGGGTTTTCTCCGGGTCCCCCCCCCACACACACAAACACTGCTAAAGACCCCTACGCGCAAGTGAATTATTGAAATATTTTTTTCGTCTGCGAAAACGTGCGCTGGAACGTTATTGGCCGTATATGTTACTGTGTGCCACGACATGATTCTCTTACTGTGCCGTAGTCTGATGGGGGTATTACTAACAAGGTCCATTTATATTGAGTGAGAACACGAATGCGATCACCGACAACTGCGACTTTCGTACTGAAAGCGGCAATAAACCAGGAAATTCGCAGATGAAACTGGTGCATTGACAATTTGACCACGTATGTATTCCACACGTCCCCAAATCTCACAGCGTTTGTATTCGGTGTCAGTATAAATGAAATTACCCAAATTGAAGTAAATACATGTAAATCAAATGCGACAGCCGCGTTCAGGATGAACGGACCTTTAGACTGTTAGACGCGGCATGTATCTGTCCCTATGAACATGTGTTTGTAACTATCTTTATATTTTTTTCAGATCTTCTTTGTGCACCATTGGTCCCTAGGTTCAAAGTACGCAGCTCTGGTGCCCAACCAGTGAGAATCGCCCCCACAACAAAATTTAAATTGAGTAAATATTGTGAATATAGGCTTGAGCCCAAATCACGTTCCCCTCTTGTACCTTACTCCCACATGTACCCAGCGCCTCCATTAGGATAATCCGGCCCCGATCAAACTAGAAAATAACTTGCAATTTTTGCATTATGTGAAATGCGAATACAAATGCTATTGAATTATCATACCTAACACTGTTGTACTATTCCCCCAGAAACATTTTCCTGTTGCTGTAGATAATTGATTACATGGTTCATTCCTAATCTA